GATGTGGCCCAAGATTATCTTATTCTATAACCCAGTGGGCTAAAGTCAGAAACTACAGGGTAAGGAAAAGAGCTATGGGGGGAAGAAGAAATAATTATAAACACGTGCATTGATTTTACTAAGTGTGTTTGCTTTTTCCAAGTCCTCCTAGGAAGCAATATATTTTCAACCCTCAAATCAGTTTGTATGAAACCCCAAACTGGGATGTGCAAAGCTGGAGCTGAGTGGGCAGTGAGTATAAATAAGAGCCCAGACCAGTAACGGATGCAGATTCTCAACAATCCAGACAACATCCTACTTGCTGCTATATTTTCCCCTCAAAAGCTGCTCCTCATGGGGTTCCCAAAAGCTCCAACCCCAGGTCAGGTCTTGAGGCTGAGACTGAAGGTAGACTATAGACAGAGGGATTTAACTATCTCCATTGGTCCTTAACATCCTGCCCCCATGGACTCCCTAAGTATCCTGGGAAACACTAATTAGAGTGTAGACTGCAACATAGAATGTTAAAACTTGACACTTTAGTGAAAGAACTAGAGCAATGTTTTTAACCTACGAGTTATGATTCAGTAGTGGGTTATGAAATCAATGTATAGGCCTGTAGCCATTTTTTTAAAAAATGGATAAAGTAAGATAAGCTAATAATACAGAAAATAAAATATCAGAACATACTGTACAAAGCAAGTATAAGTATTGTGTTGTGAGCTTGTTTGTGGGGTACGTGTATGTAAATACATATACACATCATGTATATATACATAAGCACACAGTGACTACACATAGTACCTATACGTGTGTGAGTAAATGCTTTCTCTGGCCAGGGAAAAACTTACTTTATTACCCCAAATTGGGACAAGAAATACTCCCCAACTAACGTCAATTCAATGAAGTCATTAATAAGTGTTTCCTTAATGAGGGTTTACAACAGTATTTTACCAAAAATTAGTAATTCACCTGAAAAACGTATTGTCAGGGCCCGGGGGAAGCTGACCCCAAACACCCCACAATGGCATATTGATTACTTAGAGCTAAAGTCACTTGAGGAACAGCAAAAGCATGAAGAACTCTCTGGCTCCCTTCTCTTCCCTCAAAAACAGGAAATATGTCTCTATAATAGGTGTTCTCTCTGCTCCTGAAGAACTGAGAGGTAACTATATCACAAAAGTTATAAAATCCAGAGTCAAAAAAGCATGCTTAAACACATATTGTAACACCCAAGCTTTGTGTAGCTTCCTCATGAACAAATACCCAATCCAGCTTAAATTCCCTTCTAATGAGCACTTTTTTGTCCCGTTGATTTCTCATTAATTTATTGTTTCTTTGTCTGAAAAGTATTAAAAGGTCCCAGTTCGATCATTTCTTTGAGCCTCATTTCATGATGTCAGCATCAGTTGTGTTTCCCCATGTGCACATATTAAACTGTTTTCCGTCTGTTAATCAAGTTTTCTGTCCATTTTCTTACTTTATACTGGTCCAGCCATAAGAACCAGAAAAGATTAAATTGGGAGAATTCTCTCCCACTCCCCAATAATATTAAATGACTAGTATTTTCAAAGAGGAAAAGAACATTTTTGAGTAGAGAAATTAGTTTTTTCAAGTTTCCTTCTTATTTTCTCTGTATTTTTATCTATCATGAGCATGTATTTGTTGTCTTTCATAATGAGAACATATATATATATATTCTTAAAACCAACTAAATCCTCACTGGTCTATGCATTGAAGAAAGGGGGAAAAAACAAAAAGCAGAAAAATGAGGTACAGCTTCCAAGAACAAAATAACCTTTGGCAGTTCTGTTTTTGATGGGGTTCTTGACTATGCAGTTAAGCGCCTAGTTTCTGAAAATTTTCTGCCAATTGCTTCACATCATCCAGAAAATACAAATAAGTTGAAGTACATTCAATCTTTATCACTCCATAAATGTTTATAACAGCAGGCAGCTACAGTAAACTACATATGACTTGGCCATTTCCCGGCAAGAATGTCCTCTCTGTATCCCATTGCTGATAAAGGTGGCAGTTTGAAAGTGTTCTTTAGCCAAGGTAATTCTGAAGGGAGGATTTACTTACAAAGCACCAGCATTAAGTTGACATGGAAAGGTTTGTTTTGGTCCTTTGACCCTTTGAGTCATACCAAGGTGTGTTGTTTGAGGCAGGCAGTAAAAGGAAAATAAGTGAAAAATCTTGTATCACCCACACTCCATTTTCAATGCTTTGTCTCCCAAAGTTCATTTGATTTGAGAAAAGCTTATTGCCATTGCAGCCTTTTTTGCTACTTATTGCCAAGAATCACTCTGTTAAATGACTTATTCAATACTCCAAAATGACTGAAATAGCACATTGAGAGCAATAATAATAACTAAGAGAGGCTAATTGCTAGCACACACTGTGTATGAGGAACTATACCAAGAGTTCCGCACACATCATCTATTTAGCCCTCACAGTAATCTCTAAAGCAGACATTCATATGTTCCCATTTTACAGATGAGGAAACTAAGCCACAGAAGTGAAGTGGCTGGGGCACAGACTTAAGAGCCATGCTTAGGATTTTGGACCTTGAAGATTTTATGCTGGGAAGTAGCTGTGTTTTTTAAAAAAAGGTAAATCAGATAACTATGCATAAGGTGAACTGAAAGTGAAAACATCAAATGGACAAAAACTGGTTGGGAGACCATCCCTCACTCTCCCCATAGACACTCCAGCTCAGAGGAACAATGACTGTGCTGAGAACTTGCTGATCTTGTGTCTTTCTACTTATTTTTCATCTTGGGGCAGTTTCATTCTCCCCTTTTGTCTCCCTGGCAAATTGCTACTCCACCTTCCAGAGCTGGTTTAAGGAACAGTTCCTTTATGAATAATTAGCTAATGTGCCGCTAGCCTGTGTAAAAAGGCAGCGCGGTGTGGAAGCAAGAGCAGGGAGTTGGTGGTCAGACTAATCTACGCAGCCGCTAACACACTGTGGCCTTGGGAGCGTCCTTAACCTTTTGAGATTATCTCAACACCACAGTGTAAATAATATTACCTACCAGGCACAATGGGTGTGGAAATTTAGACAATAGATACTGTAGTACTTCAAAGCCTCTATAGATGATGTTTCTTTAAGTTATTTGTCAAAACCTCTCCTGCCCATTGCCCTCTCTCTCCGCCTCCCATGAAAACTAAATTCTACCATTCTACATTCTTTCTTAACAGTTCAGTTCCTTCCTCTACACAAACATTGCCACATTAGGTTGAAATGACATTAGCTCATGAGTAAATGTTTGTAGTTTTCTCCTGCCTCAACTAGATTCTGTCTTTCTGCTGAATAATGACCCCTCCCCCCGAGCTTTCCATGCTGTAATCCCTGGAACTTATGAAAATATTGCCTTGTATGACAAAAAAGACTTCTCATGTGTGCTAAGGATCATAGGATGGAAACATTATCCTGGACTATGCCCGTGGGCCCAACGTAATCACGAGAGTGCTTTTCAGAGGCAGGTAGGGTATGAAAATAAGAGAGTCAGAAATGACAGGTTGGAAAGACAGAGGAAGGGGCATGCTTTGCAAACAGCCAAGGCCGGGCAGATCCATTCTTGCCTCCAGTAGACAGAAGAAAATGTGTGGAGCCACATTTTTTGACATGTGTGGTGATGCTTGACATGCCTTTATTTACAGGTGGGAGACCACTCATGCCACAAACTGCATGCCCTGTAGTGGGAAGCCCCTACCTATGTAAGTACTAGAGGAGAACACAGCCAGAACACTGCCAAAACCTAACTTAACCTAACCTAACTTAACCTAACCTAACCTAACCTAACATAACCTAACATAACCTAACCTAACATAACAAACATTAGTTCTGTGCATGTGAGCCCACCTTATGCTGTGGGAAGAGTTAATTAAACCCAGTCTCAAGGCTATGAGAACACTGGTTATCAGGCCCCTCCAAGGCTATGGGAGCACTGCTCCTCTTAGTTACCCAGACACTTGGGTGAGGAAGCCAGACTGCCTCCATTTACACTGTAGGCCACAAGCTGAGGACTGCAGGTCACGTCTAAAAGCTGAGAAAGACAGGGAAATGGATTTTCCCCTGGAGCTTCCAGAAGGAACGCAGCTCTGAGGACACTTTGAGTTTAGCTCACATGACCAAATTTGCACTTGTGACTTCCATAACTGTAAGATAATAACTCTTTGTTGTTTAAGGCGTTGAGTTTGTGGTAGTTGATTACAGAAGCAATAGAAAACTAACACACCCATCTCGCAACACCATCCTTTCTCTTCAAAGTATAGTAGTGTCTTCCTAAAGCGTGAATAAAAACACAACCTTGCATCTCTCCAGGTTATCACAGATGTTTAACATATGATCTCAATATTTCTAGTGCTAAGGGACTCATAGAAATGAAAATAAGGTTTCACTGAACCTGAGAATACTGAGGGAAAAATCTATGCAAAGCATTTGCATGTTTACACCAATGCTCATGGTATACAAATGGAATATAATCAGTTCTCTAGGTTTGCCAAATACAGGCAGTAATATGGATGTGAGAACTGTTCTTAATATTTCATTTTTATGAAATGTCAACATTATCAAATGATCACTAAAGAGTAAAATATTGTAATATCATTCTCTGGAAAATATCAATATATTTTCATTAAGTAGTAGAGATTCTGGTTTTATTTTTATTAATTGTCTAATGCTGGCTAGGGGTAGAGCATAAATCTTAAGGAGAGAAAAGCAGAGTCTGATTTAGTTAATGTTTTTTACAAAGCATCCCAGTAAAGCTTAAGTGCTATTAATATTTATTGACATAACTAATTATAGCATCAATATGTAAGTAAGCAGCTCATAAGTAATGTAATCATGTAAATATGCAAATATCTCTCAGCTAACATACACCAAGCAAAACCAGTGTTTATTAAAACAAATCTTCTTTCCTAAATATTTTTACTTAAAATTCTGGAGATTTTTTTCTTATATAATACTAAGATGCTTAGCTCAATTATGAAATATTTTGAATATACCATAATGCGATTGATTTTCTTTATTTAGAATTTGAAGGATAATAAAACATCAGATTTTTCCACAAGCAGATTGAAAATGGGGGGGGGGAAGCAAAATACATTATACAGTAAATGTGCAGATTTAGTCAGCTAGTAGGTTACTTTCCGTAAGTTTCTTGATTATTCTCCTATATCTGGGGGCGTGAGGGTCCAGGCAAACTTTCTTCCCTTTCTTCAGTGTGGCTCTGCCAGGGAAAGGAGAAGACAGCTCCTCAGTCGCTGGGTTTGAACACAGGATCAGGCTCTGGGTGGAGGGGCCAGAGGCAAAGGCGGAGGAGGCAGGGGCTGGGCGCAGGGAGCAAGTGCAAGGACTCACATCATCTGGGGGGTGGGGCAGTGGGGTCCCGCTCGGATCACTTCCAGGCTGATGATGTGCTTGGAATGCACTCGGGAGGTGGTGTTCACACACATGCACTGCAGAGCGCCCTCTCCTTCCTCAGGTTCTGCTGGGGGAAGGGGTGGGGGGGGAGGGGAGCCATGAGAGTCAGAGAGGGAGCGGTGACTCCCAGAATATCTCCCTGGGCATCTCACTGGGTTCGGCCTTCATTTCCTTGTCCACAAACCTCAGGAAGAAGTATTGTCTAGGTGGTGCAGTGCTCAGAACAGCGCTTGGCACAGCGCCTGCACACACCCAAACCTGTGCTCAGTCCAGCCGAATGGATATCAAAGGCGTTTACAGACTCCACTGCAACCCCCGGGAGTTCCTGGCCTCTCTCCCCAATGCCACCCGGGCCCTCCACCTCTTGCTTCTGTTCTCACCATTGGTGCTGGCGACCACAGCTGGAAGGAGCAGTAGCCCCAGGAGCAGCAGCCAGGGGATAGGGAAGGTGCAGGAACCCGCTCTGAGGCTCATGTTGCTGAGGTGCCAACAGGAGACCAGGGTTCAAGGGCAGTCCGAGTAGGCGTTGTGCAGACCAGTGCTTCTGGGACTCTCCAGGTCCGTTTTATCCCCAGTGTCTGTCCGGTCCGGAAGCCTGGGTGGAGGGTGAAGATCTGTGGTGCATTCGCCCGAAGAGTTGGGCTCTGGCCAGCCAAGATTAGGGGAACAGAAAAAAAGCCTGGATCATCTGTCTTGGCTGCAAGCCGGTAGCAGGATACACACCCCAACCCGTTTTCATATACATGCATATTTGTGGAATTAGAAACGGTACTTGAACCATATAAAAGATAGGTTCTTTGTTACGTGTAACAGTAGACTTCCGTGTAACCACCCCGTTGCAATGTACACAGCATGTACCTTCAAGACAGTTTCTGGGCCCTCCCCAATTTCCAGTTAGTTGCCTTAAAAAGAACTGCTTATCTGCTCCCTCCTATCCTGTTGGTCACCACTGAGTTGAGTTTAGTGTCTCTCTGTATTAAAGGTATGTGGTTTGTAATTGTTTTCTGCTACCAAAAGGTTGAATTTGCTCTCTAGGTGATGACTTAGTTCTGAATTTCACCTGATTGTGAAAGGATTCCTCTGTTTCTTGCATGGGACCCACGAGCTCGTCATCCAGTATACTCTGGGAAGCAAGGTCTATCATCCTCATTCATTGGTCCTCTTAGTCTGAGAAAGAACTGCGAAAGTAGGTTTGAATGCACTCTTTTTGTAAAACGTGGTGTTTGGAAGTTTCTTCATTCTGCTCAGCCAAGAAGAGAGGTGAAGAAGGAGAATTTCCGGGGCACATCTTCCAGCGCCTGCTGTTGCCTGGGCCAGTCCCAGGGACAGTGTGAGCTGGGCTGCACTGTTAGCGGAGGCAGTGGAGCTCTCAGGGCACTGAGCATCTGGGAGCTGTGTGGGGGAGAGAGGGTGGAGGACACGCATCAGAGGCCTGCACAGGAAAGGTCCAGAGATCATTATGGACCACCTTCCCCTCCCTGAAAAAGAATGGCTTTGGTTCTTGATCAGGGCAAATTGCACCCTCATCTCACAGCCAGAGGCTCTCTGCCACACTGATTAACAGCCGTGCAGGTCACTAGGAGCTCACTGCATGGAACTAGCTGCCTCTCAGTGCTCAACAGGAACAGACTTCTGCAGGAACATGCAATTTAATGCCTGGGCCTACAATGTTCTTTCTCTTATCCTCACACCATCTGCCTTTTCAGCTGGCTAAGTCCTACTCACATTGTGCTGTCAGCTTAAATATTACTTCCTCAGATGGACTTCCCAGACAGCCGAAGCTAATTGTGTCCGCTGTGGTTGTGTATTATGGCACCCTCTCTTTTTCCTATTTCTCACACATCATGCAAATGCACACACATGTATTATGCACACATGTATATATATATATATATATACATATATATGCTGTATGAGGTGAGAAATCATATTTATCACTGTCAGACTGGTGGACTACAGGGACTCTATAAAGTTATGACATTTAGTAAAGATAATAAATGTAGAAACTAGTGATGATGAGGCTTTGACTCGTTCATGTGTCTGTTTCTTGGTGCATATGGAACACAGCCCTATACTAATAATGTCACATGTGGTCGTGCTTATGTGACAAATACTCTGCCTCTCCCACCAGACACTGATCCCTTCAAGGGCAATTCTCTGTGACTTATACGTTTTTTAATATCCAGCATTCAACACAATGGCTGGAACAGAATATGTTCATGAAACTGAAACTTTGAAGTTGGGTTAGTGCAAAGGGAATGAATAGGAAGAGTGGTTTTGGAGATGGATGGGCAACATAATGGATTTGTACAACCTTACCCTCCAATTTCAATATTTGAAGTGTTCAAGAATCCAGGAAGTAGCAAGTGTCAAATCATTTTTTGTACATGTTAAGTAGAGCAATTCTATATGTGTACACAAAAGCCAAAGACATCTCCATCTCAGGAGGGGTCAGCAGAGCACAAACACTGCGGTGTGTCTCAGGACCTGCTCTTGTTAGATTTCAGTAAGAAATGAATGACTGGAGAAGTAAAAGAGATGTTGAGCTATTTTGGATTATTGGAGAAAAACTGACAATGACTACAATCCTCATTTACTACTTAATCCTCCATTTATTTATGCATATTTTCAGTTAACTATTATTTAATATACACATTTATTTTGTGGACAAAGCATTTTAAGGCATTGATCTTATAATGGTGAGAAGGTTACAAAAGGAGACCTTAACAAGGCCAAGTTTGTAAAGTAAAAATGCTTAATACATGAATGCTTCTGAAATTCCATGTACAAGTTGGGATAGGTGAACTTACTATCCTATAATTATTGTAATCTGTGCAGTGGGCTATTTATGTAACAAGCCCTATTTTCTGTGTCAAAAACACCATGTGATATATAGTATAATCTCTTTATTTGTCAAAGAAGAATCAGAATCAAGGGAAGTGGTGCAGTGTGGTAGTTAAGAGCCATAGTTTCTAATCCCCACTCTGTCACCTACTTAGTTATCTGATCCTGGGGCAAATTTCCTAATCTATTTGAACTTTAGTTTTCTTCTCTGTAATACTGGGGGGTGCTGATTTAACAAACAATCACTAACATTTCTAAGTGCGTTATTGTGGGACATGCTGTATTTTCACACCTTGAATAGATTAACTTTTACTTTTCACATCAACTCTATGAGATAAGCAATATTATTATCCCATTTTAGAGAGAGAAGATTCAGGAACAGAGAGGTCAAACCACCTTCCCAGAGTTGCAGAGCTAGCAAGGGATAGAGCTGAGTCACCCAGTTATTCTTTCTCTGGGGGACATTTAATCAGGTCATATCTGTCTTGTAAGAATTATTTCTTCTGTGCATGTAAAACATTTATTATATTCGGCATATTAAAAGTTGTTCATAAAGTTTAGCTCTCATTATAGTACATTGAAAATGGAATAGATTATCAGATAGTGCCTTTTGTTGGTCATATTGTGAATACCAAAGTGTAAAAAAGAATAAAAAGATAATTAAGGCTTCCCTCAACAATCCTGTTAAAATTAATCTGTGATAACAAAGTAGTAACAAATTTGAATTTCATGCTAATTGTTCTGTAAGATGAGTGTGGGTGTAAACTTGAGGAATTAAGAAATAAATGAATAAAGGAAAGTTTTGTTGATTACAAAATAATAATTAGTAGTCTGGTAAAGTTTTCATTATTGTACTTATTTGCAAGGCTGATTTTAATATTAAAATTTTAATCTTGCAAACATAGAGCAAATCAAATATGTAGAAACATGACAAGGTAAAATATTTTATACCAAGTAGACGCTGCATTATTATTACTATTCTTGTTGTAGGAAATACTGGAGTTTTTGATAGAGCATGTTAATCCTTTTTATGTATTTTTCTTTTGCTTACTAGTATTAAATATATTCACTTTCAAATGAATTACCAGGACTTACAAAACTTACATTCTACAACTTTATTAGTTTTAGGGTTTGAAAGCTAAAATAAACATTTTTAAAGAATTCTCTTAAACAAGACATCTTAGGACTAAGACAATGAAAAACTTTATTAAGTCCCCAGACATATGAATGACGTTTATTGAGCAAGTGCTATGTGCTGGGCTCTGTGTGATCCTAATATTGTTGATCATTATGAAATCTACCAATTATTATGGGCATGTCTAGTTTAACAGTAAACTAGAGCAGGATAAGTAAATACAAAGATAGTAGGAAAGAAACTTTTAAACAAAGAAATGCAAAGTACAATACCACATTAAACCATGAGTTAGGGAGTACACCATATATTTTATTTTGAAACCAGTCTTGCTTCCTTCCATCTTCTCTCTGTCATCTATTAACCAGCCTTTTCAGAATAAAATGTAATTCTTGAGATATAATGGAAAGCATTCCAAATAAATAAAAACACTAGAAAATTAATGTTTCAAACCCCTACTCTTCCTGGGAGAGAAGAAGGGATGCAGAAAGTGAAGAGATTAAGCAGCTGACCCACCACTTTCCAAAATTTTCTGGACTATTTTCCTGATTCTGGGAGCTTCTGGATCTAGGCAGATTTCCTTCCCGTTCTTCAACGTGGCTCTGCAAGAGAAAATAGAAGTACTTGAGCATCCTGGCCTTTCAGAGGGGATCCGTGGGGCTGAAGGCATAGAGGCAGAGGGCTTCTTTAATGAATTAATAATACAGAAGCAGGGACTTACATCACTTCAACTCTGGAACAGTGGGGTCCTGTCTTGATCACATTCACACTTTGGATGTTACTAGGATGAATGCTAGAGATGGTCTTCACACACCTGCAGCGAAGTTCAATGTACCGCTCCTTATCCATGCCCATAGCTGGGATAGAAACTGTAGCATGCATTAGTGGTCGTGATTACCTTAAGGCTCCTATCTATTGACTTGATTCCAGGAGTCCCCCTCCTAGAAGATTGTAGCTCTCTCACAAGGCCACTGAGAATATGATCTGAAACCTTTAGTAAAGTACCCGAGCAGAAAGCCTAGCATATGTTAGGATGTACCTAACTCCATTTAGAGTTATTAGTATAATTTCCTTCCTCAGCCCCAGGAGCACCCACCAGTTTCCTACCCCCAGACACAGCTGCAGCGGAAACAGCCACAGCCACAGGGAAAGCAGGAACTCCACTGTCAGCCTCCCCTAAAGTTCTCTTACTTTTTCCAGTGGTGGAGGGAACCAGTGCAATCAGGAGCAGTGACAGTGGCAGCAACACCTGTAAAACGTGAAGTGGGCTGGCAGGGGCATAGGAGGAGTTGGTGCTGCGCCTGCAGCCCATGGTGGAGAGAACTGAGCTGGAGCTGCTCCCAGGGCCAGGAGACATCAGCATGAGGGTGGATGGCTGCCAAGGAGTCTGCAGCTAAGTAGCTTTTCACACTCTCCTGATGTCTTTTATACACACTCCCTCAAGGCCAGTAGAGAGAAAAAGGATAGGGACCTGCGGTGTGGGCAGTGCGGGCACAGGGGGAGTGAGATCATGCGGTAATATATCTATAAGGGTGGTCAAGTTGTGCTCAACCCTGATAAATGCCACATGAGTCAAAGTTACTGTTGAATTTCATTTTATGTATTATTTCATAGCACTATCTCCCCTGCACATATTTAACACTGCACTTACGTGA